AAAAAAAATCCAATAAAAACGCGTTATAATTTTAGCACTTAACCAACATTTTTATGGCACAATCTATTAAAATTTAGATCAAATAAATTTCAAATATTTAAATATTTAGTAATTTTATGACAATATTTTCACGATTTAGAAAATTTTTATATGAAATATTTAACACACGATAAAGTTATAAAAAACAAGATAGAAAATCTATTAAAATTTGTAAAATTTATGTAAAAGATTTTAAACGTAAAAAAGCATTTGGAATTTTTGTTTTATTTTATAAAGACAAAATTAATCTTTAGTATTGTTTAAAGTAGTCTTAGTGGTGGTATAAGAAATACAAATTTTTTTTACAACTTTTTTGTCTGAGTCTGGGATTTATTTTTTTAATATTTTTTTAATAAAACATCATTTTATATCTTTTTTAAAAAAATGTATGTAAATGCATTGCTCTTTTTTATGCAGGCATTACATCAAAAAAGCATTAAATTCAAAAAAATAATAAACCATAAATGCCCCCACTAATAAAAATCTCAAACTTAAAACCTTAAAGAAAAAAAATTACAAATTTAGAATTAGTTGTACTTATATACTCTGCGTTGTGTTGTTGCTGCTGTTTGGTTTGGTAAATGAAATCAGACACAGATTTCAAAATGAAAATCTACAAATCTATATAAAAACACATAAATGACAAATCTTGTGCATTTTTTTCTCGAGATAAATTAAAAACAGAGAAACTAAACTCTAAATATAAAAATATCCAAAATATATACGAAAACAAACTAAATTAGTGATGATTTAAATATACTTTACATGCGCCAGGGGGAAAAGAAGGGAAGGTATGCTAAGCAGTAAACTAGGAAATTTTAATAATTTTTAGTAATTTACAAAGATCATAAATAAAAAAGACTAAAAGAAAACTGATTGAATATATTCTATAAACAGGAATTGATCGACAATTTGGTATAAAAAGAAAATTGTTAGACCATTTTATATAAAATTTATCGAAAATTTTCTTTAAATAGCAAAATGATCAACAATTTTCTTAAAGAGAAATTTATCGTAAATTTATCGAGCATTTTGTATAAAAAGATAATTGCTCAGCAATTTTCCATAAAACAAAAAAAGAAAAGTGATCGACAATTTTGTACAAAAAAAAAATTGATCTATAATTTGATATAAAAAGAATACTGAACAACAATTTTCCATAAAAACAAAAGAGATCGACAATTTTATAGAACAAGAAAAGTGATCGAGAATCGAAAATTTGAAAAAAAATTATCAAAAATTTTGTATGAAGAGTAAATCGATCGACCATTTCCTATATATAGACAATTAATCCACAATTTTTTTCTAAAAACCGAAAATTGATCGATGATTTTCTTAAAAAACATATTGATTGATAATCTTCTAAAAAAGAAAAATTGATCGATCATTTTCTATAACAAAAAATTATCGATCATTTGCTATAGAAATTAATTTGATCAAATATTTTCTAAAAAAAATTAAAATTTATCAAAATTTTTGAATAAAAAGAATTGATCAACAAATTTCTAAAAAAACAAAATTTTCAATAAAACTCAAATTGATCGACAATTTTGCAAGAAAACGAAAGATGATCGATAATTTTCTATAAAAAGAAAATTTATTGACAATTTTCTAAAAAACGAAAATATGATGGACAAATTTCTATAAAACGGAAATTGATCGACCATTTTCCTTAAATAGACAATTGATCCACAATTTTTTTCTAAAAAACGAAAATTGATCGATGATTTTCTAAAAAACCATATTGATTAAAAGTTTAAAAAAAAAAAAAAATTGATAATCTTCTATAACAAAAAATTATCGATCATTCAGATGATCAGAAAATTGATCAAGCATTTTCTAAAAAAAAAGAGAATCGATCAAAATTTTGAATAAAAATAAATTGATTAACAAGTTTCTAAAACATTCAAATTAATTGAAAATTTTCTACAATAACAAAATTGATCGACAATTTGGCAAGAAAACGAAAGATCATCGATAATTTTCTAAAAAACGAAAAATTGATCGACAATTTTCTATAAAACGGCCATTTTGTATAAAAAAAATTATCGACCATTTTTATTAAAATTAATATTGATCGATAGTTTTGTGTAAAAAGAAAATTGATCAATAATTTTCGTTAAAAAGAAAATTTTATCGAAAATTTTCTATAAAATGAAAATTTATCGTTTCATTAAATGAAAATTTTTATATAAAACGGAAACTGAACGACCATTTTATATAAAAAATTGATCGATCATTTTCTATAAAACGAAATATTGATCGATAATGTTGTATAAAATAAATCTTGATGAACTCTTTTTAAAGAAAATTGATCAACAATTTTTCTTAAAAAGAAACTTTGATCGAATATTTTCAAAAAAATTTAAATTGAACAAATATTTTCTACAAAACCGGAAATTGATTGACAATTTTCTATAAGAAGACAATTGATCTTGAATTTCAAAAATAATGGAGTTTTCTAAAAATGAGATATATAAAATTGATCGTAATTTTTTCTCCATGAACTGTGATCTTGAATGTGATCTGTCTATATAGAAAATTGATCGCTGGTTTTCTTTAATATCGATAAATTTTATGTAAAAAGAAAATTGATCGTGAATTTTGTTTTAAATACAAACATGATCGTTAATTCTCCTGAACGGAAAATTATCGCGAATTTTCTCTTAATAAAAATATAAATCTTTTCTATAAATAGTAAATAGGCCATTGATCGTGATTCTATAAAAAAGTAAATTGATCGATAATTTTATTTAAAAAGAAAATTGATCGTTTCATTCAATGGAAAATTGATCGTGAGTTTTCACTAAATAAAACAATAGATTTGTTATAAATTGGAAAATAATTGATCGTTTTTTTTTCTCCAAATAGAAAATAGAATCTGAACTCTCTAAAAATTTATGGTGATTTTCTCTTCGCCCCATCTTTACGATGTTGGTCCGGCACTGTGGTTTAGCTTACCTAGGCAACATAACCGTCTAGCGTCTGTTCCCTATGTTAAGGGGCGGCTGGAAAATACATTCTGGTTCTGTCAGTCCGAATATTTTTAGTTCAAACAAAATCCAGTATGCGTCTGACTCACATTGAGCGGCACCCTGGTCTGCGTCTGACTCCAGAGGAGTGGTAGTGTCCTTTTCGTACCTGTAGTAGAGGTATAAACTACCAAACTCACTCTCACATATGAAATGTCAATATGTAATGACGGCCCTATGTCCTTGGTCGAGGGTGCTAAAATCTCCAAGGGTAAGGTGAGTATTCAGGTGGAAGCCACAGGTCTGAGTGCCACAAGTTCCCCGGGTTTGGTAGTCGAAGATGCTACTGGGTACACAAAACAGACAGGTTTTTAACCAGACAGGACAGAGCAACCTCGGAGGACAGTGACGACAGCCTCTCAGGTCCTCTGAGCCACAAAAAGTGGACAGAATACAAAGGCACATGACCCTGCAAAGGGAGACTCCGTAAAGGTAGACCAAAACCAGTTAAGCAAGGTACAAGTTTGGCGGGCTACAAACGCTCTTTCCGGTATGTCAGATCGCTGGACTCTCGGGATCCTGCGACTCTCATACCCATGTATGTAGCCATGCTAAATACTACTGTTGTGGAGGTCAAGCCAGCCACAGCTAAGACTGAACCAAACCAGAGCAGGTATGTTATCACATCTAAACATGTGCCCAAAAACAGATAAACAAGGGACAGGTCACAGAACAGGACGAACGGAAAAGCGTTTGTGGCTCAAACACACCTACAACATACAGAAGTATGAATCCATGATAAATATTACTGTTGTGGAGGTCAGGCCAGGATCATATCTAAACTGTGCCCCATGTCAGCACTGGAATGAACATGTTGATCATCTCGGAAAATCTTGACGTACAGCCATCTTGATCAAAAGAGGCCTCGTCGGTACCAAAGAGATGTGATGACCAAAGCAGCATAACGAAGTCTGCTAGCACAACACCCAAGGGACTGTGTGGAATCTCATCTACTCGAGATACAGCGACGGTTACCAAAGGTCTAGCAAGCAGGCCTATTTTTTTATTTTCTGATTAATAAGACCTGCCATGTGGATACTATATAAAGGCCCTTATCTTATCTAGCTATACTTCCCCATTTTTTTCTTAACTTCAGCCAATATCTATAGTTGATGCTATATATGACTTTTTAGACTCAAACAAATGTTATTTTTATAAGATTTATGTTTTTGGAAGACAAACTACTTGTATACGAAAATCTCACATAGTGGTGTTTGACGCTCTTAGACTCAAAACAAAGAACGCATCTGCATGTTACAAAAAAAAGGGGCCCGATAGTAACTGTAAGTTGTTTTCTTGATTATAATGATGCAGCAACAACTTCATTATGATCATATTAATGTTAAAGTATGATGCGTTACGTATAATTGTGTGTTTTGTTAAAAAAAAAAACTTTATAGAAATTTTATTAAATAAAACTTAAGAAAAAATCTAGGTATAAATTGCATTTGACACTGTGTAATGGAAAGTTGTTGTTTTGTTGTCTCTTCATGCATCTGCACGTAATTATGTGACCCTTGTAATGTGGCTTTAGTGGGTTGTGACATGATCAGGGAGGAGACATAACCATATTGTAGGAATGCTATGATTAATTTAAACAATTTTAAAAGATTTTTTTTTATATAAAAACAATAGTTTGAGGGAGATTATTATTAGAGGATTCGGAGGTATTCCAGAAACTAGTTGAACTAAGAAGTGCATAAAAAGATCGATGCGATAATGTGTAAGATCGTTAAATATTTAAAACTGTTTACAGTGCAATCTGCCCCATTTTGTAAAAACCTTAAAATTTTAATTTTGTTTAATAAACATTTCACTAAATTATAAATTTTTTATTTATTTTTTACAGAAAACTTTAACAAAATTTAAAAAAAGTTTTAAAATTATAACAAAATAAAAAAATTAAATAAACAAATTTGTAACTTAAAAAACAACAATAAATCAAAAAATTTATAAATATACAAAAAATTAAAAACCAAATAAATCAAATTTTAATAAAAACAAAAACTTTTGCTGTAACCAAAAAGAAGGAGAAAAACGTCTCTCTCATCGCTCAAAGAGAATAAACACCGACAAGATGTGTCAAAAATGCTGACATTTAACAGCTGTTATCGGACATTTTAAACAATGTTTAATCATTTTTTCGTGTTCTTTGTTGTTTTTTTGTCTTTCCGTTTGTCGTAACAACCTAACAACCATGGAAATCTATTAAAGTGTTGAAAATCTAAAAAATAAAATTTATAATTAAAAAAACAACAACGAAACCACACACTTTAATTTCTACTAAATTAACAACAGCTAAGGATTTGTATTGAATTTCATGAAGTTTCAGTTTGATTGATAACAAATGAATGAAAATATGGCATTAATACAACGAAATATATTTGTCATTTTACTGCTGTTACTACAACTGAGTCGTCTGGGAGGCGGCATGAAAGGTGAGTAAGAATTTTTGTGTAAAAAATTATGATAAATGTCTTTATAAAGAACTTAAAAATGAGATGTATGTTTTTAATTTTAGGTATTTTTAATTAGAAAATTAATTTAATTAAATTTAAAATGATTTCCTGGTATTTGTTTTTGTCACATATTTCTTGACATTAAAATTTTTTTAAAAAAATTTATGATAAATTTTCTTTGAAAAAAAAAAATATCGAAAACTTTATATAATAGGAAAATCACTGTTAATTTTCTATAAATAATATAATAATTGATCGAAAATCTTCTATAAATGAACAAAATATAATAAATTTTCTCTACAATTATAATCGATTATAAATTTTCTATAATTGGTCGTAAATTTATTATAAAATGAAAATTGTTCATAAGTTTTCTATTGAAACTTGATCTTAGGTCTAGTCTGTAGTCTAGTCTATAGTCTCGTCTATAGTCTAGTCTATAGTTTAGTCTATAGTCTAGTCTATAGTCTAGTCTATAGTCTAGTCTATAGTCTAGTCTATAGTCTAGTCTATAGTCTATAGTCTATATCTAGTCTATAGTCTAGTCTATAGTCTAGTCTATAGTCTAGTCTATAGTCTAGTCTATAGTCTAGTCTATAGTCTAGTCTATAGTCTAGTCTATAGTCTAGTCTATAGTCTAGTCTATAGTCTAGTCTATAGTCTAGTCTATAGTCTAGTCTATAGTCTAGTCTATAGTCTAGTCTATAGTCTAGTCTATAGTCTAGTCTATAGTCTAGTCTATAGTCTAGTCTATAGTCTAGTCTATAGTCTAGTCTATAGTCTAGTCTATATAGTCTAGTATAGTCTAGTCTATAGTCTAGTCTATAGTCTAGTCTATAGTCTAGTCTAGTCTATAGTCTAGTCTATAGTCTAGTCTATAGTCTAGTCTATAGTCTAGTCTATAGTCTAGTCTATAGTCTTAGTCTAGTCTATAGTCTAGTCTATAGTCTAGTCTATAGTCTAGTCTATAGTCTAGTCTATAGTCTAGTCTATAGTCTAGTCTATAGTCTAGTCTATAGTCTAGTCTATAGTCTAGTCTATAGTCTAGTCTATAGTCTAGTCTATAGTCTAGTCTATAGTCTAGTCTATAGTCTAGTCTATAGTCTAGTCTATAGTCTAGTCTATAGTCTAGTCTATAGTCTAGTCTATAGTCTAGTCTATAGTCTAGTCTATAGTCTAGTCTATAGTCTAGTCTATAGTCTAGTCTATAGTCTAGTCTATAGTCTAGTCTATAGTCTAGTCTATAGTCTAGTCTATAGTCTAGTCTATAGTCTAGTCTATAGTCTAGCCTATAGTCTAGCCTATAGTCTAGTCTATAGTCTAGTCTATAGTCTAGTCTATAGTCTAGTCTATAGTCTAGTCTATAGTCTAGTCTATGTAGTCTAGTCTATAGTCTAGTCTATAGTCCAGTCTATAGTCTAGTCTATAGTCTAGTCTATAGTCTAGTCTATAGTCTAGTCTATAGTCTAGTCTATAGTCTAGTCTATAGTCTAGTCTATAGTCTAGTCTATAGTCTAGTCTATAGTCTAGTCTATAGTCTAGTCTATAGTCTAGTCTATAGTCTAGTCTATAGTCTAGTCTAGTCTATAGTCTAGTCTAGTCTAGTCTATAGTCTAGTCTATAGTCTAGTCTATAGTCTAGTCTATAGTCTAGTCTCTAGTCTAGTCTATAGTCTAGTCTATAGTCTAGTCTATAGTCTAGTCTATAGTCTAGTCTATAGTCTAGTCTATAGTCTAGTCTATAGTCTAGTCTATAGTCTAGTCTATAGTCTAGTCTATAGTCTAGTCTATAGTCTAGTCTATAGTCTAGTCTATAGTCTAGTCTATAGTCTAGTCTATAGTCTAGTCTATAGTCTAGTCTATAGTCTAGTCTATAGTCTAGTCTATAGTCTAGTCTATAGTCTAGTCTATAGTCTAGTCTATAGTCTAGTCTATAGTCTAGTCTATAGTCTAGTCTATAGTCTAGTCTAGTCTAGTCTATAGTCTAGTCTATAGTCTAGTCTATAGTCTAGTCTATAGTCTAGTCTATAGTCTAGTCTATAGTCTAGTCTATAGTCTAGTCTATAGTCTAGTCTATAGTCTAGTCTATAGTCTAGTCTATAGTCTAGTCATAGTCTAGTCTATAGTCTAGTCTATAGTCTAGTCTATAGTCTAGTCTATAGTCTAGTCTATAGTCTAGTCTATAGTCTAGTCTATAGTCTAGTCTATAGTCTAGTCTATAGTCTAGTCTATAGTCTAGTCTATAGTCTATAGTCTAGTCTATAGTCTAGTCTATAGTCTAGTCTATAGTCTAGTCTATAGTCTAGTCTATAGTCTAGTCTATAGTCTAGTCTGAAGTCTAGTCTATAGTCTAGTCTATAGTCTAGTCTATAGTCTAGTCTATAGTCTAGTCTATAGTCTAGTCTATAGTCTAGTCTGAAGTCTAGTCTATAGTCTAGTCTATAGTCTAGTCTATAGTCTAGTCTATAGTCTAGTCTATAGTCTAGTCTATAGTCTAGTCTATAGTCTAGTCTATAGTCTAGTCTATAGTCTAGTCTATAGTCTAGTCTATAGTCTAGTCTATAGTCTAGTCTATAGTCTAGTCTATAGTCTAGTCTATAGTCTAGTCTATAGTCTAGTCTATAGTCTAGTCTATAGTCTAGTCTATAGTCTAGTCTATAGTCTAGTCTATAGTCTAGTCTATAGTCTAGTCTATAGTCTAGTCTATAGTCTAGTCTATAGTCTAGTCTATAGTCTAGTCTATAGTCTAGTCTATAGTCTAGTCTATAGTCTAGTCTATAGTCTAGTCTATAGTCAAGTCTATTGTCTAGTCTATAGTCAATCTATTGTCTAGTCTATAGTCTACTCTATAGTCTAGTCTATAGTCTAGTCTATAGTCTAGTCTATAGTTTAGTCGAGACTACATTCAATACTATATACTAAAAACTATTGCAAATTCTGTAGACTACTGATAAGACTATAGTCAAGACTATAGAGAAGGATTATATATGGACTATAGTCAATACTAAAGGCGAGACTATAAAATATACAATATAGGCGACTAAAACAAGTCTATAGTCAACAGTTTATACGAATATAGACGAGACTATAGTCAAGACTAGAGACGTGACAAGAGGCAAGATATCAGACAGATTATAGATAAAACCATAGCCAAGACTTTAGTCAACACTATAGAGACATGGTTACAGTAAAGATTATTGCTGATACTATAGCAAAAAATGTAGTCGAGACTATAGACCTCGACTACATAGTCAGCACTAAAAACAAGACTATAATCGAAACTATATTGAAAACTATAGACTAGTCAAAATTATAGAGGAGACTATTGTGATGAACTCTAGGCGGATTATAGTCAAGACTAAAGACGAAACTATAGTAGATACTATAGAGGCGAAGAAAACAAGACTATAGTCATCACTATAGATAAGACTATGGATGAGACTATAGTCAAGACTATAGACGAAATAAGTTTAAAGATTAAGTGGACAAACAAGTGGATATTTTTAAATCGTCTGCAAAAATAATTCTGGTCCAGTAAATTAAGTGTGGAACCAATACTTTTAGGTGCAATAAACACAAATAAACTTCCTTTTATAGACCGACTGGCTATAAACACAGCTTGTCACACTCTAAATGTCCTCAAAAACATCATTTACATTTCATTATAAAACTTGCCGGTTCAAAATCTCAATAAAATATATTCTCAGAAAAACACACATAAACAAATAATTAAAAATTGGCAAAAAAATCTAATTGTACAAAAAACACAATAATAAATAAAAAAAAAACTTAATTTTAAATGAAAATCATCATCTAGTATTTTCAAAATAAAATTAATGGGGCTAAAAAGTGAAAATAACGCACGAGGTTCAATAACTATCACATGTGAATAAAACCAAACACACAAAAGTTGTGAAAACTAAAAGAAGAAATTAAGAAAAAAAAGAAATCGGGAATGAATCATCCTGAAGTGTGACACACTCACACACAATATTAAATACACATTGAAACGCACACAGGCACAAAGACTTTTTAAAGAAAATGACGTCACGCACCATAAGCGCGAAATTATTGAAAAAAATAGAATAGAAGACGACCGGACGGACCAACATGAAAAATCAACAAAGAAAATCTTACATTTTAAATGTAAAATTTAAAATTAAAATCAATTGGGTGTTGTGAGTGTGTAAACAGCAGAACTTTAAAGGAATGAATTAAAGAAATTAAGAACGGAAAAAAAATACAATTGTTTTCAAACTTTTAATCATTTCGCTGTTTCAAACTCCTGTCCTTGTCTAACTTTAGCTCCTCGACTTTGTATTACACACAAATAGTAGATCTTTCAGTGTTATTGTCGGCATGTGATCGACAATGTTCTTGTTGCACGTTTAATGTTGCAAGCAAATAAAATAAATAGAAAAATAAAACTAAAATGAAATTGAAAATAAACAACAACCAACAACCAAAAACAAAAAAAAAACTAATCATGACTAGAATGTGCTTTTACAAGTCAAATGTCAAGCGTGAAAAATGCGTTGAGTGTTTGGTTGCACTGATGCATTTACTTTTATTTTGCACACTTTATTTAACCAGCAGCAACAGCAGTGACTAGAACAAAAACAACAACATTAATAACAATTGCAGGCAACGGGAAATTTGCTAAAGTAGACGACTGTACGATCAATTTTGTTGACGTTGTTTTTGCTGCTGTTGTATGTGGTCTATGTGGCAGCTATTTTAAGATTATTAATATCTTTGTGTTGTTGCTCTTCTTCTAGTTGCTGTTGCTTAATGTTTCTTAACACTTCCATTTGGGGTCTTTGTTCAGTGGAGAACAGTCTGTGATGGGACAAGTAAGGCACGAAGTCACTAGATACATGACTTCTGATCACACTCAAGAGAAGATCATAGTCAGGGCTAAAGTCGAGTTTATCGACGAGTAGACTATAGACTAGACTAAAGACTAGACTATAGACTAGA